AACAGACAGCGAAAAAGGTAAAGAAAGAGTGATAGAGAGGGAGAAAGAGAAACAGAGAGAAAGAGAGAAAGAAACAAAGAAAGATTCTTTGAACTGAACTGAAAGAGAGAGTGGAGAGAGAGACAGAGAGAGGGAGGGAGAGAGAGAGAGAGTGGAGAGAGAGAGAGTCAGAGAGACAGCAAAAAAGAAAGAGAGAGAAGAGACAGACAGAGAGAGAGAGGGAAAGAAAAAGAGAGGGTGCTATGTGTGCTGCAGTGTTATCAGTCTCTGTGCTGGAGAGGCGCTGCAGTTCGGGCTGCTCTGTTCATTTAATGCAAGGTTAGTCAGGCTGATGTGATGAATGGAGTGTCTGCGGGAGAATAAAAGCATGCGCTCCGTCACACGCTTCACACACCTACATAATGCCAACTGGACAAGCTACCCAACACTGCCCGCCACTCTACTCACGTTTATCAGAGTAATTTCTACGCTGTAATCAGCGTCAGTCCAGCATGGAGCAGCTCAGCCTCCCGCTCCGCCTTCACATACAGAACCCGGCCGACACGTGCTCGGAGCACGGACAGAGAGAGGGAGGCGTTTTTCCATTATGGACACAGACAGAAAAATGAGAGGATGTTTACAAACTCCATTTAATCCAGCGAGACTCCAAAAGGGGAAAAGAGATAATAACGCTGTATTGATTAATCCATAAAAGCAATACGCGCAGCCAGAGATAGGAGTGTGACCACAACAAAGCCCGGCGGAACGGGAAAAGAAAGAAAAATTACACCTGCGGTTCCACCAGCACTGTTGTCCTCCCTCACTCTGTCTCTCCTCCTCACTCTCCGTCTGTTTCTACACTTTCTCAGGATGTACACAGCACTATTCAAACATCTTCAACATTCATTTAAGATTAATTTTGTTGCAAATATATTAAAAATAAAAATGTTGCAGATGCATGTATATAATGATTAAAGTTGGTTCTTCAAAAGGTTCTTTAGTAAAGGCAGTGAACCGTGCCTTCTATATGGAACCATTTCATGCTTAAATGGTTCTTTGCATAGTGAAAATGTTCTTCAGATTGATAGAAAATGTGTTACATATGGTTCTATGTGGCTTCTATTGTTACAAGCAGAATACTTTTGGTGCTGCATAGAACTATTTTCAAAACAGTTCTATATAGAACCATATTCAACACATTCTCCGTCAATCTGTAGAACATTTTCACTATGCAAAGAACCACTAAAGCAATATGCAAATGGTTACTTTAGTGTTCATGGTTCTATAAAGAACCACTTTCTTTAGTAAGGAACCACCTTATTTAAGAGTGCATATAATACCTTTTGAAAATGGTTCTATATAGCACCAAAAAGGTGCTATCATTGTTACAAGCTTGATATTGGAACAAAAGCAGAACTCATTTTAAAAAAAAGGTTCTATATAGAACACATTCTCCATCAATCTGAAGAATTTTTCATCATTTTCATCATACAAAGAATCATTTAAGCATGCAAAAAATTATATGACTGTTCATATGTAGTGTTCTATATAGAACCATTGTCTTTACTAAAGAGTGCTTGAAGAGGCATCTTTTTAAGACTGTGAGCCTTACATTTACAGCAGAACAACTTAGAGCTTAGATGTCTGCTTGGAAATCTCCTTCTGATGTTACAAATGGTTCTTTATGGGTTCTTTAATAAAGGGAATTGTTCTCTTTTGGCACTGTAACAATAGCAGAACCCAATTTCAAAAAAGGTTCTATTTTTTATTTTTCGCTCTTCTTATACGACACATTCTCCATCAATCTGAAGAACATTTTCACCATGCAAAGAACCATTTAAGCATGCAAATGGTTCTATATAGAACTTATGGTTCTAAAAAGAACCACTGCCTTTTCTAAAGTGTGTAGTATGATGCTAGTATTCACAATTTCAAAGTATTTGTCAGAATCTGTAAAAATTAAGGGTTTTGATTAACACCAAGCAACTAAATCTGACTGATCAGATAAATATTCACAGTTATTTTTGGACACAAATTGACTATAAATAGATCATTACAGTTTATTATTTAATATAATTCACTTTTTTTACCATGTCGTAACTTTATGAGGCTTCCAAAATACTTTAATTTGTAAATAAACCATCGCTTTATGCTTCAATCTACATTATGTTAGCTCGGTAGGTATGTTTGTTTTTTTCGGGTTTTAGTACAATTTCATAACACAAACAAATAAATAAATAAGCTACCCTATGATCACCACTTTGTAAATTAACATCTTTTAACACGATAACATCTTTTTATGGAACTAAATACAATCCCAATTCCAAATTACATTTATTACATTTTGGATGCTGTGTAAAATGTAATAAAGGTAAATAAAACAGAATGCAATGATTTGAAAATCTTATAGAACCATATTTTTTTCACAATAGAACACAGAACACATATCAGATGTTGAAAGTGAGACATTTTATCATTTCCTGAAAAACTAACTCATTAAGAACTTGATGGCAGCAACGCATCTCAAAAATGTTGGGACAGGGGCAACAAAAGGCTGGTAAAGTTGTGTAATGCTAAAAACCACACCTGGTGGTTAATTGGCAACAGGTCAGTAACATGATTGGGTATAAAAAAAGTCTTTCAGAAGTAAAGATAGGGAGGGGTTCACCACTCTGTGAAAGACTGCATGATAAAATAGTGCAAGAATTAAAGAATAATGTTTCTCAACGTAAAATAGAAAAGAACTTTTGCTTTTCATCATCTACGGCACATAATATCATTAAAAGATTCAGAGAATCTGGAGAAATCTCTGTATGCAAGGGACAAAGCCTAAAACTAATATTGGCTGGCTGTGATTTTTGGGCCCTCAGGCGGCACTGCATTAAAAACAGACATGATTCTGTAGTGGAAATAACTGCATGGGCTCAGGAACACTTCCAGATATCATTGCCTGTGAAAACAGTTTGCTGTACAATCCACATATGCAAGTTAAAGCTGTATCATGCAAAGAAGATGCCATATGTCAACACAACCCAGAAATGCCTCTGTCTTCTCTGGGCCTGAGCTCATTTAAAGTGGACTGAGGGGAAGTGTCCTGTGTTCTGATAAATTAAAATTTTAAATTCTTTTTGGAAATCATGGACACTGTGTCCTCCAGGCTAAAGACCCCTCAGCTTGTTATTAGCACACAGTTCAAAAGCTGGCACCCATGATGGTATAGGGGTGCATTAGTGCACGTGGTGTGAACTTCCCAAACGTTTACAGGCTGTTGTTTACAGAAGAGGGGAGGCTACACAATGGTAGACATGGCCCTGTCCCAATTTTTTTTTCAGTTCTAAATGAGTTAATGTTTTTCATGAATTGCAAAAATGTCTCACTTTCAACATCTGATATGTGTTCTATGTACTACTGTGAATAAAATATGGGTCTATGAGATTTGCAAATCATTGCATTCTGTTTTTATTTACATTTATTTACATTTTACACAGCATCCCAACTTTTATATTTGTGTATGCAAACTGAATGTAGACCAATTTGACAGAAATAACTGTGTACTCCTAAAGGACGAGCGCTTCTGTCTCTCTCAGTGTTTCACGCAAAAACAGAGCTCTGTTTATGAAGTAACTGGGGTAAACGCCTCCGGATGCTATCATTACCTTCACCTGTAGACTGTCTATCAATCATGCAGGTGTCTGAACCACCTGACCTATCTCAGCCAATCAAACAGCTCATCCATCACCCCGCCCCTAATTAATCTTCACACCTGACACCCTTCATTAGTAGCCAGATTGAGGTGTGTGTGCATGTGTGTCAGTGATGTAACAGTACAGTGGGCCCACAGTTTGGTACGTATCAAGGTGTTGGGCCATAGTAACGGCTTCAGTATCTTTATATAAAAAATAATACTGTTTAAACAATGAACTCTTTATTCCGCCTACAGACAAATAAAATTTCCGTTCAGAAAAATGTGGGCGTGACTCACTGGACTGGTTTCTGTCTCTACTGTATGAAATCATGAGGAGAAAAACATTACAATTAAAAGTGCTTCTTAGGAGCTTCACCTTCTCCTAAGAATTGAAAATAATTAAACAGAGCTACTGAGGGAGTCAATTCGCTTCCAGTTTCTCTCTGTGATGTTTTGTAAAGTTTGGGCAGTTACACTGCTGCTGAAATTTGTGCGGGACACTGTAAAGGCCTCCACACACCAGGTGCGCTGCATCATAACACATAGCAGACTGGATAAAATAAAGTGTTCAGCATCAACTACCTCTCCACAGACTGGCTGTTTTCGAGCTAAAAGATATGAGCTGAAAAAGGCTAGGCTAGTAACGTTAGCTAATGTAACTTAGTAGCTATTTACCTAAAAGACCGGGTGCCGGAGTCGCAAGCACCGCTGCACATCGACTCAGAGTGTACCGACCTTCATTGAAAAAAAAGGTTCGAATTTTTGGCCACCGTGCGGTGGCTTTAACTTCTCTCTGTCTCACTAGCACTTGTCACTCTCACGCTGGAGCTGAAAACGTTTGTATTTAGCTCCTCCTCTCTGATTGCATACAAAGTGCTGATTGGCTCCAGGCAAATTCTGAATAGCTCTAGAGAAATTCTGATTGGCTCTAGGGAAATTCTGACTGACTATAGGGATATTCTGATTGGCTCCAGGCAAATTCTGAATAGCTCTAGGGAAATTCTGATTGGCTCTAGGGAAATTCTGACTGACTATAGGGATATTCTGATTGGCTCTAGGGAAATTCCGATTGACTATAGGGATATTCCGATTGACTACAGGGATATTCCGATTGACTAGAGGGAAATTCCGACTGGCTCCAGAGATGTTCTGTGGATCTTAAGCGTACAGCGTACATGTAGTCTGCAGTGCAATAAGCATGTTTTGGAAATTATAGGGAAATGACAGGCATCTCATAATATCATAGTTCACAGGTTCAGTAATTGAAATGTAGGGGGTATACAGAATGGTTCGACAATATGTGTGTGTGTGTGTGTGTGTGTGTGTATACACTCACAGTGCAGTGTGTGCTGGCTGTTATCTTCAGGTTGAAATCTGCAGTAAACTCCAGCTCAGAGATGGTCACAGCATTACAGTCTAACGTCTACAGGGGAAAAATAAGGAAAAAAGTTAAAGTCTAATTTGTATAGAAAAGATTAAAGAGCTCACAGTCTAAGATTCTCTTGTATTTTATCCCTGAGGTCCACTTACACGTCTGTGTGGTTTTACGCACCAAAAATAGTCCTAATGCATTTCTACATGACCAATCTCCAGCCTCTCTTTATCCCTGAGAATTAAACAGGCAGTTTTTGTTACTTTGCCTTTAAGACTGATATATTTGTATATTCTGCATATGGACTGTATTGACTGAGGAGTAAACAGTACTTTTTAAACTCAAACAATGCTGTAGCCATGGCGACCCCTGGTTCCTATCACCACCACTGTAAAGACATCTGAACCATTTCACACCAAACCACTCTGAACCACTCTGATTACATCTCAAACACTGAATTATGCACCACACAACTGGTGAAATTTCCCTTTAAGCAGACACCTCCTAATGTTCGCCTACTATAAAACACACATCACGTTCCTTCACTAGAGGAAGCGTCCCATTGCTATTTTAACGAGATTCCACGCAAGATAGCATCCATTTTAAGGGTTCCTGACCAGGGCCAACAGCTGTTATTAGACTTGATCTGTGAGATATGTAAAATTTTTCAGCGTGCAGGAGACAGATCAATGTTTCATTCTCACTGCTTGCCACAACCAAGGTTTTTACGAAGGACGAGATTTTACACTTGCATTTTTGTTGTTGAACACATGACATGAAAAACACTGCTATGGTTCTTAAAGAGACAGTTAACTCACACAATTACAAAAAACCCAAATGTAGCTGATCCTGTTCATATTTATAGATAACAGTGAGTCATACAGTGTCGGAAACATCATAATCAATTTGAATTAAAAAGGCTGAAATATGTAAATGAGCACTGGTCTGATTGACTGTGCCTCACTTAAAAAGCAATCCAGGCTGCAACACTCCTTATAACTTCTGCGTGAGTGGGCAGGGCTAAACTACTGTAGGCTGAATAGGTGGATAAGTGCAAATGTGTTGGTTTTTGTGACATCACAACACATTAAATTCATAACTGGCTTTGTAGCTTAGTTTCCTTGCATGGACTGCATGGGGTAGGAAGTGAACTTAACACTGAATAACGTTTAAGAACAACAATTTATAAAGGCCATTACACACCGAATGCTATTTATTCATGCGATTTACTCAGGTGATGGCATTACCTAAGGCTGAATGATTTGGGGAAAATATCTAATTGCAATTTTTCTGACTAATATTGTGACTGCAATTTAAATTACCTGTATTTTCTAATAATTGTGGTTCAGAGAACTTTTTTTTTACCAAGAAGACCAGAATATCCACTTTTTCTGGCTTGAGGCCTGACCTCTTAATGTACCAGACTGCCAATAAGTTGTGGTTGTTATGTCACAACACGTGGAAATTTGGTTGCCTCTGATTGGTCAGGTGCGTGTTGGTCCCCTCGGTTCTATAATCAATTCCTGCAAACACATATCTGTAAAAAACTTATACCTGTGAATTCTTCAACTATGAATTATCCTCTATATGATTACCTTTTCAATCCTGGTATATAAAATAACCATTCAATAAAGTAAAAACATTATAGTTATGTAAAATCATATTTACCCAGTCCACCTCCCCTCTTCCCCAAATGTAGTCAATCAGGCAGAACATGCTTGACGTCTGAAGTTTAGCTTCTTTAGTCTTTGCACTGGAGCTACGAGGCTAATGTAGCTAGCAAGTGATGGAAGCTTAAACAATATCAATTAGAATGATGCTAACTGCATTCCTAAATCATCACAGATTGTGTGGAGTTGTTCTTTAAACTCTAAAAGACTGTCACCGTAGAGTTAGAAAAGAAAAACATCTGACAAGTGAAAGCAGCATTTTACAGTATAAATAAATGTAGCGTCATTATGCTAGTAGTAGCTTAAACAGATGTTGGGACACTGTTGGGGTTTATCCTGAAGTTAGGACAGTATATAGGAAATTTAGTCTAGTTAGGATGTGTGATACTGTTTTCTTATCTGGAGTTAATGATAAGATTATGAAGTTAGGAACTGTTATTCTGTAATAGCTACTGTTCTAAATTCAGTCCGTACTGAAATCAACATGCTGATTAAACAGATAAGACAAGATTGACCACATTAGGAGGAAAGGGGAGGGGGGGTTAGATTTTCACCAAATTATCACTTTAAAGAAAGCATCTGAGCACTGCTGCTTTCTCTGCGCCCACCTGGATTACCGCTGGCTCTGAAATGACTGTCTCTGGTTTCAGGACCTCCACCACAGCCTCGGGTACAACCGCCTTCTTCATACACTCCATCTTAAAACCAAACACGTCGTCCCAGAATGCAATGCGGTCGCGGTGTTTCTCGGTGTCGCCCACTGCTGCAAGGCTGATGTTACAGCAGTTGGGATAAACTGAAGAAAAGACAACAGAATGCTCACTACTGATGGGAAGATTCAGTAAGTGAACTTAAACTAAACTAAAGCTAAAATAAAAACAGCAGTAAAACACTTTACACACTCAAACTGAGATCAAACTGAACTTGGAGTAAAAATGTGCTGGCGTAACACTAAAAAAACGATGAAAGCACAGTTTTGGATTAAATAACACAGTGATAACCTGTCTATTTAAAGGAGAACACCAATTTTTCAAAATGTGCATAATTGAGTGGTTAAGATGTAAACAGAGTCATTCAGAGTGGTTTGGTGTGAAACGCTCTGTTGTAGATTAACTTACCGAGTCAGAACTGTTCACAGTGGTGGTGATAGGAATTAGACATCCTGCTCTAAAAGCTCCCTCACAGAAAGTTATTAAATGAAATAGTTATGAATACACTGTCTGATGTCTGACACATTGTTTTATGATAGATCTGTGCCTAAAATGAAAGTTTTGGCCTAAAATGTATTTTAATCCACTTTTTCAATACATTCATGGTGGAGGGGTCCACCGAGAGCATTTTGAGCCAAAATAGCCCCCAAAGAAAACCCGAATGACAGAGCAATTTGAATGTAAAAAGGTGAACAGGAAGTTCTTACAGCCATATAACGTTCCATTCATTACCATGTAGCATGACCATGTCCTAATTATCCTCCTGACCAACCGTCTTTATTTTACGTATATTTTAAAAGAAAACAAATGTCTGCTTAAGCACCAAAGAGCTTCCAGCAAACAGAATTCAACTGATGGTCATAACCATAAAAATTCTACATTCATCAGTACATTCATCACTTTTAATGCTTTTTTATGGTTGGCAATAAGGAAAGCACTCAAAACTTGCCTCGCCTCCAGCTGTGGGGGGCTACACAAGTCAGAGCAATGCTACATGCTAATGGATGAGCCGCTAACGCTCATAGTTACACAGCTAATGAAGGCCAGGGTCACTGAGCAAAACCCAAAAACGGGCCAGAGGCACAAATGAAGAAAATGACTGAAGTGAAAACATTAACTCCTACATAATATAGCCATTACACGCCCACTCGAACAGGGCAAGCATCACGGCCATGTTTCCTGTATAAATCTGAATGAAGCATGTAGACGTTGTGCTGAGGATTCCTCATGTTTAAAGCGAAACTATATATGAAATGTATGCATTTTCTTCTCAGCCTAATCTGTAAACATGAACGAAGAACTGTAGTATGGACCCGCAGACATTTACAGTGCCAGAAACCACATCATCAAGACTATTAGGGATTACTTAACAACACACAGTATGATTTAGGCATGCAGTTAGCATCATGCTAATTGGTGGACTTTAAAGGCTGTTATACATTGAATGGGATAAGAAAAAGTGACTCAGAAATTTGATTTGAAAATGCTAAATATTTGGAAGCGTTTCTTTCCGCATCACAGCTATACACACCAGATGTGACTTTAAAACTTAACATTAAAATAAATACCATGAATTCTCACAAAGCTGACCTCAAAAAGAGCACATTTTAAGGATACTGTCTTTAAATTGTCTTTATTTACTAAAAGCAATTTACATTAGCAGCGCCTTTTCCACCCGAACTTTCTGCAGAGGCTGTTTAAGCTACTAAATTTGGGGCTCCCGAGTGGTGCAACCGTCTAAGCGTTGGCCCTATCATCAGGAGATCGCGGGTTCGACCCCCGGTGATGCTACAGCCATCCATAACCGGGAGTCCACAATTGGCCTCGCTCTCTCTGGGTGGGTGGGATGGCCCCTCCTTCTCCCCCCATCACTCAGCGCAATGCTAGTCAGCGCAGGCGTCTGTTAGCTGACGTAACAGATCTGGCGGTTGCCGCTTTCCTCCGAGCGTGTTCGGCTGTCCAATGACATTGCGTGAACGGCAGGATGAAAAGAAGCAGTGGTTGGCTTCACAGGTCTCAGAGGAAGCCTGTGTTAGCCTTCACCCTCCTAACGTTGATAGCATCGTGTGATTGGGGGAGTCCTAACTAGCGGGTGGAATTGGAGACGACCAAATTGGGGAGAAAATTGGGTTAAAAAAAAAGCTACTAAATTTATATATAAACAGATTTTATCCGAATGTTTAGGCCAAATGTTGTATTAGCTGTGTCTAAGGCCCAATCCCATTTCACCCCTCGCCCCTACCACTCAGCCCTACCCCTCCATTTTGCGTGTTCACATCAAGGGTTAGGGTGTCCTGATTCTTGTTTAGATAAAGGGGTGGGGTGAAGTGGTAGGGCTACATGGCCCTCCAAACGGAGGCTTTTCAGAGACACACTCCAAACAGAGTAATATGAGAAAAAAAAGAAAAACTGGCTGCGTAAGAGACCAAAGAAACCCACAAATGTGAAAATTTTCTCTGTTCAAAACAAGTAGAGCTAGGCGATATGGCCACATATGTTGTCATGATAAACAAAATTCTTATCGTTCAATATCAATACATATCACAATAAAAGTCAAATCATTATTTCTTTCAAGTTTGAAGACTGATTTTTGTTCCTGAGTGGTTAATTGTGGTTTTAAACTATACTTTATGGTCAGAACATGACAAACATTGGCAAAACAGTGGAACATTTCACAAATCTGTCAGTTTCTGATCAGCTGTTTTATCAGCTGGAAAAGCACAACCGCAATTTTTGTAACAGTCATAATTTAAAAAAGAAAACAGATTATTTTTAGCTGTCTGGTGACGAGTGCTAGGCTATCCAGTTACAAATGCTAAACAAGTGTCCAACAACAGTGCTAAACTGTTTAGTTTCTCAACAACGTCAACTTAATACGAACAGCAAACATTAGCTGGCTCGGTAGGTTAGTGATGGATCACCCGCCTTACAGCCGTCACTTCTACCACATCCATGTCAGAGCATATCACAGTATTCAGACACCAGCTAGCGACGTCTGGATTTCTCTGTTCTATCATAGTAGTTTGAGGGGTGAACCGCAATATATCTGATGCTCACTGTGTAAAAGCATTAACTGCAGTGTGAATCTCTCACAGCAGACAAACAGAGTCCTCCTTTTAGGTACATTTAAACTGAAATCTGTGCTTTTGTGTCTTGTTTGATCTACAGTAACATCAATTCACCGTGTTGTGCGAGTGACGGAGCGCTGCTTCAAGTTAGCCAGATGCTAAAAACAGCTGGCATGGGAAAGTAGCATTCTCCAATGCCTCACAGCTTCCTCAGTTTACTTGCGTTTAAATCAAGGCTGTAACTAACATGAACCCACTTCTTTCTTTCACTTTCGTTGCTCGGGAATGCACTAATACTAAAATATGACTGTCCGAGCCCTGTAACAGCGCTGTAGTTGTGAGGAGCAGACGTGATTTAACGCTGCTAAAGCTTGTTAGGATGTAAGGAAAGAGGTGAGTTCACTGTAGGACAGTACAGTTACGCCACTGATCTAGTCACTTACACTTGGTCACAGGAGAACAGATCGCCAATCGCTCCACTCAAACAGGGAATGTATAACTCCATGTTTCAGACATTGCTAAAGTATATTTGGCAACTCATTTTACTCGTCGCACCCCCCCCCCATTCATGTCGTTAAACTCGGAAGTGTGCCCTCTCTGACAGCAAAGTTTTGCTTTCCTTGAAGTAGAAAATGCCACCAGGGCTGTCGCTAGAACGTGGGGGTGTGAGACTGGTCTGTTATATCGAAAATTTATCAAACCTTTCTTACAGTTCCACTGAGGATATCACGATAATTATCGTTATTGTTTTATCGCACAGCCTTAATAACAAGCATAAAAAATCACTAGTAATTTGCTGATTGTCTCGGTAGCTAGTTAACTAAACGTCCCGTTCCACCTTAAATAGTCCAGCAGTTACATTCTGGTGCCTCAGGCATCAGAACTATACAAGAAGCGTGCGTGTGAACAGCCACACGCAGACTCCTGTCAAGAAGATGTCAACCCATTTTTCTGCGATTAGTGACAGTGTGAGTAAGTGTCCCAGGAAAAAGTAGTGAGTGCTGATCAGGCAGAAAACAGGACTGTCCCACACCAGCAGGCAGAAGCGGGAGGCAGGAGGGGCCATGTCCCATGATTCATAGCTATGACATCTGTGTCCTTCTCGACTCGGTGCCCATGGCCCGTTCGTCAAGCACCCTAACACCCCCCCAGCCCACACACACATACACACACACATATATACACACACTCAGCCCGTCACTGCCGGCCGTGAAGAGGTTCTGCTTGGGCAGTTTTGGAGGGGTGGGGCTGAGGCAGGGCTGGGGGGAGGGGTTAAGAGGGAGAGTAGAAGAAAAAAATCCTCCATCATGGGGGCAGTGAGTGATGTGTAGGGATGAAGGAGAGAGGTTAATGATCAGAAGACAACAGGAGAGGAGGAGAAGGAGAGCAGGTTATGGTCCTATAACAGAGAGAGAGAGTAGCTGTGGGGGGCAGCAGTAAGTAATGCTGCTCGGACACACCACGAAACCGAGAAAGGCTGAGAAATCAATCTGCTTCACATAGGTGTAGAGCTGCCTCCAGCCTGCCATACGGAGCACAAACACAGCAGAAATACTGAGCACAGTTTCCAGCCTGACAGTGTTTCTGAAAGACTGTCACTGTATGAGCAGTTTAAAGAGCACTTCAGTCTGTGTTCCTTAGTCCTCCTTCACAGCTATATCACAGCTGAATTGACACACTACATGAACAAAAGTATTAGGACACCTACACATTACACCTACAGGAGCTTTTATGATTCTATTCTAAATCCATAGGTATTAATATGGAGTTGGTCTCCCTTTGCAGCTATAACAGCTTCCACTCTTCTGGGACGCTTTCTACAAGATTTTGGAGAGTGTCTGTGGGAATTTTTGTCCATTCATCCAGAAGAGCATTTGTGAGGTTAGACACTGATGTTTGACGAGAGGGCCTGGCTCACAATCTTCGTTCCAGTTCATCCCAAAGGCGTTTGATGGGGTTGAGGTCAGGGCTCTGTGAGGGCCGGTCAAGTTCTTATACACCAAACTCAAACTCACCCAGCCATGCCTTTATGGACCTTACTTTGTGCACTGGGGCTCAGTAATGCCGGAACAGAACAGGGCCTTCCCCAAATTGTTACCACAAAGTTGGAAGCGAACAATTGCCCAAAACGTCTTGGTCTGCTGAAGCATTAAGATTTCCCTTCACTGGAACTAAGGGGTCTAAGCCAATCCCTAAAAAACAACCCCATAGCATTATCCCTCCTCCACCAAACTTTACAGTTGGGACAATGCAGTCAGGCAGATAATGCTCTCCTGGCATTCGCCAAACTCAGACTCATCAATCAGAGTGCCAGATAGAGAAGCGTGATTTGTCACTCCACAGAATACAATCCCACTCATACAAAGTCCAGTGGCGGCTTGCTTTACATCACTCCATCTGATGCTTGGCATTGAGCATTTTGGTCTTAGGTTTGTGTGTAGCTGCTCGGCCATGGAAACGTATTTCGCGAAGCTCCTAACATGCAGTTCTTTTGCTGATATTGCTTCCAGAGTTAATCCTGAACTCAATACTGAGTGATTAAATAGAGGATAGACACTGTGCGCTTCAGCGGCCCCACTCTGTGAGTCTGTGTGGTCTATCACTTTGTGGCTGAGCTGTTGTTGCTCCTAGATGCTTCCATTTCACAATAATAGCACTTACAGCTGTCTGGAGCGGATCTAGCAGCACAGAAATTTCACAAACTAACTTGCGGCAGAGGTGGCATCCTACGACAGTGTCATTAGTTAGGGATCATAACTGCACCATATTCTGTTGTAGTTCTATTTAAAGCAGCACTATGTAGTATTTTTGTTTAAATTGAGAATTGTAGTTACTGAGTGTGGAGAACACACTGAAATATGGTGAGCAGGCGCTGCTGTGTGTCACCCTGTAAAGCCTGAAATAATTATTTAAGTCACAGGCGAGTTTTCACACCACGTTGTACCTCTAGGTATTAACGTCACACACTCAGATTTAAAAAGAAGGTCCAGCTCAATGTTTAGGTCTCGAATGATCTCAAAATCATCATTATACTGATAAAGATGTGATGACAACAGTAGATAATTCATTTACATCCTCAGACGTGTCCTTCACCGAGTTCTCTCTGAATTCTCCATCAACTCGCAAAAGTCAGATTCATTCATTTGTGGGGGTCCAAAACACAACAGATGCTACAAAACGCTCTTCCACACATTGAGTGCAATTACATATTTCCATCAGAAAGGTCTCCAAATCCCCAAGTCCTACATAGTGATGCTTTAAGTTTCATTGACTCCATATACGCGGTCTAGAATTTTATTTTCTTTTCCAACTATAAAAAGTTATGAAAAGTACAAATATGCCCCTTTCATCTGGGAAAATAAACGTAGTGTACCTTTAAAAAATAATTGAACCTTAAGGACCATGCTGAACCTTTGACATTTATGGTGTGTGTACCTTGGTGGACTAAAATTTGCATGGACAGTACCCTTACAGGGCTGAGTATCAAAATTCAATACTCCTATGGTGCTGACCAAATTACTTAAAAACTACTGATTATGAACATGTTCCAATCTCAAATTTCAATACTCGGTCTAATAATCATGCTTGTTCCAAAATCTAGACTGCTGATTGATCATCTAAGTCATAAGCGTTCTATTTTGTGGTATAATATAATATTTATATTAATGCAATACATGACCTCTTTGTACTTAAAACAAGTCATTGAAAAAAACAAGGTGGAAGTATTGTTATCAATGATACCTAGCCTTACTCATGGATCAGCTGCTATATAAATAACTAGCTAGATATATAGCTACACAAACACATCTCTATCAAGGCAGACAGACAGTTCAACAGCCTAGCTATAGTTCCAAGATAGTAGGCCTGTACGATAAACTGCATTTTTATCATTATCATGATTTATATGAGTTTCCACAATAAACACACTGTTAAGAGCAGCGATGACATAACTGATCAAATAACCTCATACACACAGCACCAGACAGACATTACCAACGCTAACCATTGGAAGCTTAACAAGAGCTGCTCTGCACTGGGATTGAAAACCACTCTCCCTTACGGGGGTTGAGTGACTTAACCAATAGGCTATACAGCCTAATACAAAACACAGACAGCAGCTCAAACACTCCTCCATCCTGAACTACACACCTGTAAAACACATCAAACATCAAGATATTTCTCACACACAGTGCTGTGTTTTAAGTGTGTGAGGCAGTAACAGCTGCTGTCACAACAGACATATTTGATAATTAAACAAAAATAAATAAACAAAAATATTCATTCATACTTGTGCACCTACATAAAAATAAATATACATTTTTTGTGCTAAAAATAGAGGTAAGTTAGATTTCTGTTTTCACATCCATAAAAAAATCTGTACTTGTGTCACATCCAGTCAGAGGCAGACTATTTTAATATGAATTTATCACTTCTCATATTGTCATTATGATATCCAAGAGCTTTATTAAACATCGCATTTTAAGTGGGTATCATACAGCCCTACTAGCTAGCTAGGTATCTAGATGAGTTAAAATGCTAGCTGATAGCTAGGCAGATAGGCAGTTAGATAGATAAGTAGTTAGATAAACAGACAGCTAGTCTGTTTTTACTTGATGCATAGCTAGACAGCTAGAGAAAGACAGTAGGGCTGGGTGGTTAATCCAATTTTATTTTCAATTACGATTTTGGCTTCCAACAATTAGGAAAACAAAATAATCGAGATAAAACTATTATTGTGCTGCATTCTGTTTCACAATGATGTTCTCATTTTGTCTTGTTATAAATCCAGTGCACCCCTTTCTTTTATTTTTTGTTTTTCAGTTGAATTATATTAAAAGTTCAAGGGAATCCTTATAAAAAGACACATTTTTTTAAAGTTCAATAAATGCATATTGTTTCCTAAGTCAAATAAGTATATTAAATAATTGTGATCTGAATATCGACCAAAATAATCGTGATTATGATTTTTGCCATAATCAAACAGTCCTAACAGACAGCCAGTGGGCTAGACAGCACATAGCTAGGAAGAGGTTCTTTACTGATTCCCAACAGGAACTCTGGAGGGAAAGGCAGCAAAATATTCTTCTCAATGAAAATGTGAATAAAATATACAAAAGTCCACAGAGACAAACAATACTGCAGCTACTGTAGCTGACAATTGCTCAAGGCAGCGATGTCTTTATTCAAGCCCTCTCTCTTTTCTTTCTTTCTTTGGCAGTGAAGATCAGATAGCGAAACCTCTCCAGACTCCTGCCACTCACAGATCATTTAGCCAGCTTACACACACACACACACACACACACACACACACACACACACACATCTGCATTCTTGCAGGCAGTCATCCACGCACTGCACGCTGAATATCACTCTGCCGTCATGCTGAATTCAGGCTGTACTGCCACCTGCGCTGCTGTAAGCCTTGAGGCGTGCATGTGTTCTGTAAATGCAGTGGAATGGACTGAACTGTACCGTACAGTAAACCAGATTTCTCCTTTTTTATCTGTATTTAGAGGTTTACACAGTTTCCTCATGAAACCAAAACAAATATGAGCACAAAAGATTTTTTTGTCCAGAAACAACAAAGATGTATAATATTCACAAATATACTCTTGTAATTGAGCAGGGTACAAAAGTCCAAATTGATAAAATATTGTCATACTGCCCACCCCTATAGGCCACTATTCAATTTAAGCAAATTTGTGACACTGATCATGTTGAGGTCTTTGTATAAAAATGTCAGATCGTTTTTATTCTGATCTCGTGTTCAGATTGGATCTACAAAGATGGTTCATCAAGGGTCTTTAGTAAAGAAAACGGTTCTATACAGAACCATGAACTCTCAAATAACCACTTGCATGATTAAATGGTTCTCTGCATGGTGAAATGGTTATTCAGATTGATGGAGATTGTATTGTACATGGTTCTATATAGAACCTTTTAAAAAATGGTTCTACATAGCACTAAAAATGGTTCTTTTATTGTTACAAGCTTGACTTCATAAACAACAGGAGAATCCTTGTTGGTGCTACGTAGAACCACATATAATACATTTTCCATTAATCTGAAGACCGATTTCACCATGCAAAGTTCAACCAACCAGTTCTTTGAATGTTCATGGTTTTATACAGCATGTGTTGTGCTAGTGGATCAGACACAGCTGCTGGAGTTTTTAAACACTGCGTCCACTCACTGTCCACTCTATTAGACGCACCTGCGTTGTTGGTCCACCCTGTCGACGACATCTCTTGCTGTATAGCATGAGCTAATCATCTTCTTGTCCTTCATTGGTGGTCACAGGACACTGCCCACAGGGCAGGATACTGACTGGATATTTTTGGTTAATGGACTATTCTCAGTCCAGCAGTGACACTGAGGTGTTTAAAAACTCCAGCAGCACTGCTGTGTCTGATCCACTTGTACCAGCACAACACACTAACACACCACCACCACGTCAGTGTTACTGCAGTGCTGAGAATGATCGACCACCCAAATAGTACCTGCTATACACACACATATAAAATCAAAATAAGTGTAGATAAACACACACACACACACACACTCACCTGAACCTCCTTCTGCAAGATACATGTCCCTGGCAAAAAGCACAGAATCCAACATGGACTCAAACAGAAGGAAGTAGCCCTGTGGAGAGATTAGAAAAAACGACTTTAAACACATTTTATAACACCGAATAGCAGAGCTGGTGGGGAAAAAGCAGTTTCAAAATGCTTTAAAACTTTAAAACATCTTTTAAAGTGAAACCTTCAGCTCTACAGCAGACAACGCTGAACAGACGCTCGCAGGAGAATTATGGATAAATCAACCAGCAGCAAACTAACAAAAGCAACCGTCTGGCGACGCTCCAGTTCCCCTTCGAGAACCTCCGCTGAGAGGATACAATCACAGAGGAGCTGAACCACTGACTGTATATATGATATATATATGATATCTACACTCATTGACTGTATAAATAACATATGATATCTACAGTCACTGACTGTATAAATGACATGATATCTAGTCATTGACTGTATAAATGACGTGATATCTAGTCATTGACTATATAAATGATATATGATATACACTATCAATGACTGCATATATAATATATATGATATATATATACTCACTGACTCCATATATAATATATGATATATATACATTGCCTGTATATATGATATACATCATCTATGTGATATACATACTGTTTGATTGTATAAATGATGTACGAAATATATACTTGCCTTTCACTCTGTGGAGACTGTGTGATTTAAATGTTTAGGTTCTATGTTCTAAATACATTCTGATCTTAAAATTAAAATAGAGCTTATTTTGTCCACTCATACAGCTTCAACACAACATACTGCTTTATAAATAAATGGATAAATATGAGCAAAAAAGAACATTTTACTTTTTTATTTTAAACATGCAATGCTGCAGTATGTCTTACTTCCCTTCTCTTTTAGAAAAATTGCACAAAAGACAAACATATTTTAATATGTAAAGACATCTGAGTGAATTTCTATTTCTATTGAGGAACAGAGAAATGCATGCCTTTTGGTAAAAAAAAAAAGTGCTGTATTTTTTCACCTTTTCATAAGACACAAATCCATGTAACCCACACATACATACACACACACACCACACACTGCCTCTCTGGATTTATGATCCATGATGCCCGTTAACCACATACATGGTTACCCAGAATCCTCTCTGACTGCAGTGCCCCCAGGCTGACCCAGGTTCTGCACGAGTGGACAGCAGGTCAACCCTGCTATTAATCCAGACCTGCTGAAACTGAGCTCTGGACACATCCTGTTGGCCTCACTCTGGACAGGAGCAAAGACAAGGTCAGGCTGACTAACGCTATCCCACAATCCTCCTCTCTACATACAGTAAGACTAAAACCAAAAATCACTTAGCTGAAAGATGGCAAAGCACATTTAGCTAGTTAGTAACGTTAAAACAACCAGTTCTATGCAGAGTCTGCTCTAAACTGAGTCTGTTCTACAGTTTCTCATTAGGTTGAATGAATAACTGACTCTAAATGTAGGTATGGTGATATAAACTGAGTCTGTTCTACAGTTTCTTAGTAGGTTGAATTAATAACTGGCTCTAAATGTAGGTATGGTGATATAAACTGAGTCTGTTCTACAGTTTCTCATTGGGTTGAATGAATAACTGACTCTAAATGTAGGTATGGTGATATAAACTGAGTCTGTTCTACAGTTTCTTAGTAGGTTGAATTAATAACTGGCTCTAAATGTAGGTATTGTTATAGTTGGCATGAGTTGTGCTCAGATTTAATATAATTTTTTATTCTAAGCCCCGGCCTGCCCCACCCACTTTACTTTTTGAGAGGCTGCACATATACTATCACTGACAGCGGTTTCCTTGAAAGATCTGACATCATTACGCCTTCATTTTTTTTTTATTAAAGAACACATTTTTCTTCCTTAACATGACGTATTTCCGAGTGAAACAGGCTACTCTGAGTCACACTCTGACAGTCAGCAGGATCCGTTATACAGAGCATAGACCATTTTACAGAAAAGAAGAAAGAAGAAAAAAAAAAAACAGATTTGGTGAAAAAAATGTATTACAATATTCTGTGTTTTCTTGTAGTTTCGGAAACAATTAATTAATTGCTGAAAGCTCGAATTTTAATAAGTAATTTTTTTTTGCTTTATAAGACATATACATAGACAACGCAAAGCATCAGTTAGCAGCCTAGCCTGTTAGCATCCACACCACTCTCGCTTTTACACATTTTACACTGTACAGCAAAAGCAAGAAAAAAAGATTTCAGGAAAAAAAGACAGCACATTAAATAAATCAATGTACAAGTATAAATACCTAACATTTGAGCAAGAGATGGACTGTATGTGTATGTGTATGGACCAGGTTTATACCACACTGTGAGGACCAAAACACTCATGTTATGGGGACCTCTCTTTCTTGTGGGGACCAAATGCTGGAGACCACAACATAAAGCATTACATTTTAAAGTGAGGGTAAAGTTGAGGTTAGGGTTAGGCTAGCTGTAGTTCTGGTTAAGGTTTGGCCAAGTCTCCAGAAAATGAATGGAAGTCTATATAATGGCCTCACAATTCACAGAAACAAGACTGTGTGTGTGTGAGTGAGTCACTTCATCATCTTTAAAAAACAGAACTCTCTCACTTCTGTTGACATTCTGTTGACGTGGCTTTTCAGCGTAAATGGGCTAAAATAATTCAGCCTATTAACTGAAAGTAAAAAGAAAGGAGATCGTCTGCAGACATACATGTACGTGCAGTCGGAGAGGAGGTGATCGATGTGTTCTCGCTGATGATTGGTCAGTGTGTTGAAGGGGAGGAGGGAAAACAAGCTACAATATTATTGGTTAGTATAATTTTTCCAGCACATAGTGACACAACCAAACTTATCACAACGTTTAAACACAGCAGAAATCACTACACTCTGATCAGAGATTACAGAGAAACAAGAATTTTTTCTTTTGAATAATATGACACAGTGGATTGTGCTTAATGTGTCCAAGGACAAGAACTAAAAATGCCAGAAAGGTCCATTTTGATTTCAGGTGGTTTTCAAAGTGCTGCATATGCACAGAATGAAGGCTTGTGTTTCTTGTGAGGCTGGAGGGTGCAAGGAGTGATACTCCAATAAAATTCCCTATTCTCTCATTGCCTTTATCTGTAGGCTAAAAAGCTCCTCAACTCATCAGTCACCGCCCCCCCCCCACAGCGGCACACACTGACAGCCAGGCCACGCAGATAAGCCGTCTAATGACACACACACAGGGACACACATTCACCCCAGGACAGGAGGGGGGGTGCAAATTTATGACCACCATACCTGTCCCTTGGGTGAACTTAGATGATGATGATGATGGTTCTGCATTGTCAGTCAGTGTTATTTTAACCCACATAAGTCCTAGTCAACAAGAACATGCACCGGTGTTATGTGAATAATTTCTGATTCGTGGCTCATTGAAATGAGTGCATAAACTGTGTGGAAAGTGCAGATTCTAAACTTTCAATCCAGAACAGATTAGTGTCTCTGAGTAGAAGAGGACATATTTTATTATGATCTGAATTGGATGGAATGTGCTGTTCTGTGTGCAGATTTGCTTTGCAGAATGAAAAAAACTGCAGAGCTGAATCTGTCCATACTGAATGGGAATCAAACGTAGGTGTAATTATTTATGGTACTACATAATAAACTTTCTAATTATGTACTTACACAGCCCAAATTACAAGTTCTGCTCAATATGTAATTACGTAAACACACGCTCTACGGAGAACATGTCTGTATGTTTTACTTTTTATTTACTGAATTTAATCTATTGGGAAAAATAAAACATCAAATATAGCCTGTATATGCAGCCCAATACATATATATTAAGTCTTATTCGGACGCGATTAGTTTTACATGAGGAGGTGGGTAATGTATTTATTACTGGTGTTTCTCAGTGATTTCAGTCGCGTCTGATGCGCCATGTCAGTCATTTTAGTATTAAGCAGTCGTATTACGCTTATGAGCTCATGTACAGTATTATGTTCAACACAATTTGTTTATGTGCTCTTAACAATTTGATAACTGCAGAAAATTAGATTGTGTCAGTAACTGGTTCAGTGTGTTTACATGATCTACGGTCAGAAAATAGGGAAACTGCGTGTCTACATGAGTCAGGCAATAATCTTATTTCTCCTTTACAACCGGCCAATAAGACGTGATGTAAGCATAACGTAAAACTCAAATGTCACAAGCAAATTTTTTTAAAAAAACATCTAGTAACTTTAGCTGAAAATATGAAAATACATCATCTACAAGATTATTTAAGAATATTTATATCCTTCATTTGGTCGAGTCTGTAGTCGGTTTCAGCGTCACTCCAAATGTGTTGTGCTGCCGGGACAACGCTCTGTTTTCACACATGCGCAGACTGACAGAAATGAAAGAAATCAGAGTGAGGGTTTACATGCACTGAAAAACCCCATTACTGAGCTCAAATCCAGTCTCTTTATCAGATTTCTTAATCAGATTTATAGTCCTTAATCTAGAGTGTGTGTTTACAGAACCACTTCATAATCAGATAACTGTAGAAATGTGATTATGATCGCACTAGTAGGTGCATGTGAAGCCAGACAATATATATCAGGGTTGATCTAGAACATAAACTATGCATTAAAAGAAAAGAGATCAAAAGACAAATATGATTACTTTTGTCCACCTTAAAGCCGCAGACGGCAAATCACGACCCTAGGTTGACTCAAGCGCAATCAGTATCAGTCGATGCTCAGCGTCTTAGTGTCAGTATTGGAAAAGAATAAGTGGTATCTTGCTATCTCTAGGAAGAATAGGTGTTGGTACCTCTCAGGCTTGTGGTGAACGTGTCCTCGCTCTGGGCTGCTCTTAAAAAGACTTAGCGCTGGACTGATGGCTAAGCTTCTCCATGGTGTAATTTAGAACCCAATTTCACAGGCGGCTGCTTCTACTGCAGTGAGTGAGTGAGTGAGTGAGTGTGTGAGAGAGAGAGAGAGAGAGAGAGAGAGAGAGAGAGAGAGAAGCTTCAAGATAAAAACATCCCCAGGCCTAGCCTTGGAGACCCCTGACTCGTCACTCTCTCGCTGTCTCTCCAT